GTCTCTCTTGTTCCCCAGCCCCCACCAGCTCCACATGCCCTACTGCAAAAATCTGTACAAAAAAAAATTTTTTTTATATACCACATCAGGTATTTAAAAAAATGACTTCCACTTCATTTCTCCCTTCTCACCCTTTGTTATTGATGTCTGCATTTCATTCTACATATGTTAAGCCCCCAAATACTTAATTTTTATTTGCTTTAAACACCCAATTATATTGGGCCAGCCTAGTGGTTAAGGGAGCTAGATTTCACATGGCTGTCTACAGTTTGAATCCTGGTCCCTACAGCTTGGAAAACACTTGTGTATGCATGTGTGCCCCAATTTCCTTCAGGATGGAGAAACACAGGAGAAAGGATTGTGTCATGACCATGCCCCATTGGAGCTGCCTTTTCCCTTCCCTCCTCTCTTTTTCTCCTCAGTGAGCCACATGCTCTCTGGCAATTAAGGAAAAAAAGGGGGGCTGGCAGGTTGCATGGTGGTTAAAGATGCTGACTCTCTCATGGCCAACCATGGTTTGAGTCCCGGACCTGGCAGCTCGCTTTCTCACTTTCCCACTCTCTCACTCTGTCCTTCTCTGAACAAATCGAAATTAATTAATTAATTAAAAAAAAAAAAAAAAAAAAAGACAAGGGGAAGACAATATTTCCAAGCCAAGGAGAGAGGTCTCAGGATAAATCAACCCTGCCAACACCTTGATAGCTTCTAGACTTGTAAGAAAGTAAATTCAGGGGCCAGCAGGTGGTAAGGAGGCTAAGGGAGCTGGATCTACATGGCCAGCTGCACAGCTCAGATCCAAGACCTGCCAGCTTGAAAAACACTGGAGCATGTGTGTGCTTGCCCAAAATCTTGAGAGGAAAGTGGAAGAGAGCGGAGTGTGGCGGAGCCCATACTCCCCGGGGTGTGTGTGTGTGGTTTTCTTGCTTTCCCTCTCTCACTCTCTCTCTGGTGAGTACAGCAATATAGCAAACTTAAAAAAAAAAATCATATTGTGGGGCCAGTGGGTGGCATGGTGGCTTAGGCGCTGGACACTTCCACATGGCCAACCACAGTTCAAGTCCCA